TAATTTGATTTTAGGTTAAAGAGTTTGAGAAATGAGTGAGGTAGAGTGTAAAAGATTCCTCTGTTTGAAGACGTTTAGAAGGTCCTGTGTGTGACTTTTAGGTAACAGTCCAAGCATTACAAAATAAGATCACAACCTCAAAAGCTAAAAAAACAGGAACAAAAGAGTTTAAAAGCTAAAAAACCTTTATGACCAAACAGGAAAAAAAGGAGAAAAAAAAAAAAAAAGGCTACCCCAAAAAACCTCTGAGAGGAAAAAAAAACCCCGAAAATTGGGAAAACCGCAAAACGAAACACAAAAACCAGCCAAAAAGGGGATGCCCCAAACAAAGCAAAAAGGGTGGGGTGGGGTCGCTGTCTAAAACCCCTGTAAAGCACATGGAAGGCCTCACCGTTGAGGTCAGTTGTGAAACGCTCCGGGGCCTTGTCCACCATCGGTCACCTGTGGGTTTCCAGCCTTTTACGCTGTGGCCACCTAACAGCCCGACCTTGTGCCACCCCGCCCTTGATGCGTGCAAAGTGCCAAACAGCCCTGATGGCTTTACGCTCCTCGCAGCGGGTCGTTCCCAAACCGTCCCACTGTCGCAGTTGGGGGGCGGGGGGGGTGTGTTTGAAGGTCCTGCAGAGAGGTTGGAGGCACACGGAAGGGATTACAGACCCCAACGGACAAATGCATTTTACCCTCCAGACTGTTTAAAACCCACTTACCGGTTCCTAAGGTCCACCAATGGAACATGCCCCGGACCTTGAAGAAGGAGGAAGAGACGGTTCCTTCTCTTTTGTTTTCTTCTCCAACGCTTTGCTTGGGGTCTGAGGGTCTTAGGCATATGCGCTTCGTTTAAACACTTGCCTGTTCTTGTATAAGCTCCGGGAGAATGTATTCCTCTTCATAAAACGTGAGGCCCATTTTAGGACCACAGTTTTTTTAAACCAGAAGACAAAGAATCACTGCAAAAGAGTAAACAAGTTCCTAAAAAAAAAATAATGGCCATGCTGGCTCCAGCCCACCTTGTGTATGCCTGACTGTGGCAGCACTAATGTCCTCGCTAGGTTCTTCTTACGCTAAGGCCTCCTTGAAAAACTTAGTTACCCCACACATCCTTAAGCCTTTTACCAAACAAATAGACATTTTCCTTTGTCCAACCTCTTGACAGAAAAGGACTTCCTAAAGGTCTTAAAATGCTCAAACGCTCAAACCTTTGCACTTCACGCAGCATCTGTATCCACCTCTTTGGAAAAGAACCACATAGTTCTTGAGAAGTTTAATGGTTTTAAGACCATTACGTGTGTCAGAACCACCTTCTAGAAGGGTACATAGGTTTTTTAAACAGCGTTAAAGTTCAAAAACTGAATGTCGTAAGGGAAAAAGGAAGACACCAGGTGCAGTTTAGTTTGAGTCTAAGATGGTCGCTTTTTATAAAGACAACGACGAGAAAGACTCCAGGAGAAACTTTTTTTGGATTGAGTGAGGGCTGACACCTCTGAACACTTTTTGGATCAGACTTGATACCAGGCCTGAAAAACGAGCCATGTGCGGAGATTTAATTTCGTTCACAGAACAAGGCTTAACAGCACACAAAGAGGTCCTCCAGAGGACTATCCTGACCAACGACAAAACTCCACCGTGAGCTTATTTGTAACCTTTGTGTTTTAGCTCCCCACTTTGCGATGTTGTAAAGAGATTTTCTTTGGAGTTTCCACGCTGGAGGAGCTGAAGCACATTTTTACACAACTCTATCCTCACGAGAGTCATTACCGTTTCATAACACCAGGAAACATCTCTTAAAATGGGTGTCAATCGTTTCTAAAAACCACTCCTAAGATAAAATTCCTCTGTACATTGCAAAACCCAAACCCCCTAGCTCTAGGCAGTTTGCAGACTACCCGTACGTGCCTAAAGAATTTTAAGCTCATAACCTTGAACCGTGCACCAAAAAACCCCTAAGTCACAACCCCTGCCCCAAAAAACTCCTGGAGTTACCAAAGGGTCTGGGTCACGTTGAAACCTCTCGAAAAAAGCTCACACTCTTTATCCAACAAACGCATTCTCAAAAGTGCTTTCGCCTTTACCCAAAACAGTTCTTACGACTTGGAGGGCTTTTTGCAGCATTTGTGGCCTTTTTGACCCCCTAAGGGTTATGACAGTAGTGCTTCCGAAACTCTCCATCGATTTTGGGCATTGCACGGACAGCACGTGACTCGCTGACGCCTTTACAACATCACCCTTGGCCACACCGCCACACTCTACAGTTTTACCTCTCTACACCCTAAAAGGTTGGCAGTAGAACACGCTTGCGGTTTTTCACACTCCTACAGTAGCTTTCCAGTTTTTTGGCCCTTGGGTGCTCCCCCGTCGCCTGTGTGGAAGCCCTCACACCTCAACCCCATTCTTTTTACAATGGGGCCACCTTCTGTCGGGAGACAACTTCTTATGGTACCGATTTCACCTTCCCCATTGGCCTCCGACCCCTCACACCCCAGCTGAGACCACTTGCGTCTCGGGGGGTCACCATCACCAAGGGTGGCGTTGAAGTGCAGGGGACAGCCCTGCTCAGATTCTCATCACGCCGGCTTTCCCAGCTCTCAACTCACCGTTCTACACATTCCCCGCCTTGAACAGAAAGCGCCCGACCAGGTCTCTAGCTACCATAGGTTACCGGTTTCTTTATGGGTGTCCTGACAGATTGCTCTGCCTACACCGTGACCCTGACACCCAACCCTTGCCACACCGCCCGTCCCACCCTCCTGTGCACCCCCCGCACTCACCTGCGCTCGGGACCCACCCTCTGGCTCCCAGCCATCTCCTCGCAGAGGGGACAAAAAAAAAGACACCGAGACCACATTGTCAGCCAGGCCCAGCTGCTTTATTCTATACTGCTGCCCACCCTGCACTGGCTCCCACCTGAGACCCCCACCCGCCCTGTACCCACCAGCAGCCCCAGCATCGGCCACAGTTGGTACAGGCATCCCTGCGCTTGCAGGTATTTCCAACACGTTGCGGGCACACGGGCAGGGACAGTGGCACCACCATGGCACTTTGTGTCACCCTGCCATGTCCCCCGGTCCTGCCACAGCACAGCCTGGCACATCCCGCTCCCCCCTCCAGTTTGCTGGATGCTCGTACAGCCAACACGGCACAGCACATGCCCCAAAGTGGTCCCTGTCACCCAGGACACCCCACGGGGACCCACTCGGGTCACACACCCACCTTGCGGCCGCGCACTGCTGGCTGGCTACAGCCACCCGCTGCCACGTGTGGTCTGCGACACCGCGGCTGCCCCAGGCGCCACCACAGCGTGCTGGCACCGGCCGGGTCTCACTCCGGGACTGCAAACCCACCAGCACCTCCTTGGTGGGAGTCCATTTTTTATGTGCCACAGGGGGTGACAGCGCCGGCTGCGGTCCTGCTCCATCCCAGCCACTGCCAGCTGTGTGGGACACATCCCGCCGGGTTCCAATCCTAGAGGCCACCTATCCACCGTCGAGGAGGGGACACAGCGTACGGGTGCATCTATGCCCCCACGAGATGCCAGCACGTGGCGATGTGCCCAGCTGCAACACCGGCCAGCACCTCCCGCACCGGCCCCTTCCCCCCAGCCCCTCAGCCATCCCTGCAGCAGCCGCTGCAGAGGAAGGGTCGCACCCACACGGCTTGAGTTGCCAAACGCAGCCCAATGCTTGCCGCCCCAGGCAGCGCAGAAGCCCACCAGCCCGCCCCGCCGGCCCCCATCCCACTTCGCAGGCAGGCGCCGCACACAGGGCGTCCCTCTCCACACATCCTCCAGGCCGGCATTTATTAAACCGCCAGCTCTCTTTGCCAGAGAGCTCGGCAGGACCTTCCCGGGCCCTTCACGACATTCCCAGCCCTGCTTTGCCCGCTGGCCAGGCTGGCAAGTGCTGCCCGCTCCCCAGAGGGACCCACAACCCTGCCCTAGGCGAGCGGCTCGCGTGGCCCTGCTGCTCTCGCGGGCCCGGTGCAGGTGTCAGTGTTGCTCGCCAGATCGGTGGCAGCGCGACGCCGAAGTGGGACACCGTCCGGCACGTCCCCCGCCAAGCTCAAGGCACCACTGTCCATCTCCGCTCCTCATCATCGTCCTCCTCCCGCCGCGAGGCTCCCCCGGCAGCCACGATGAGATGACGATGGCACGGCACAGCACCGCCACTGCCTCCCCGAGGCTCCGGCACAGCGGGCGGCTCTGCTCCGGGGCTCACAGCACGGCACCTCCTGGGCAGCCTCTTTGCACCCACTCCCACCGACACGGCCGCCTCTTTCCCCGGCAAACTCCACATCTGCGCCGGGGGGGCCCCGCCTCCTCCTGGGGAGCCCACGGCCGGGACACACGCTCGGCTCCACCAGCCCCCCGCCCCGTTTCTCCCACCACCGTGGAAGGAGACCCACGCTAGGACGCTCAGCTTCTGGGCTGCACTGCAGGGCCTGGAGCTCCCAATGCCATGTGGCTCCCAGGGGCCCGGGCTCCCTTGACACCCGCCCGAGACCACTGAACCCCTGCCAGGGCTGACCCAGTTGCCTCAAGACCCCCATTGCAAACCAGCTGTCCTCAAGTAGCCCAGCAAGGTCTCCAGAGACATCCCATGTGCCAGCCAAGTCCCCTAAAGCATCCCAAGATCTCCCAAGTCCCCTAGAGCCCCTCAAGTGCCACCCAGGATTCTTCGAGCCCCCCCGGACCACCTGGCCAGAGCCCAGCCAAGGCCCAAGCCCCTCGGCACCATGGACACAGCTCCCACTTCCCAAAACCAGGGGCAGCTTGTGGGATGGCTGCCCACTCCGCCTTGCCCAGGACCCCAGCCAGCCCCGCTGCATGACTCAGGGGACCTGCATGAGCACACGGGCCAAACACTGGCATTGCCACAGGCAGCCCCAAGCATCCCTCCCCCAGCTCTACCATGTGCCCCCCTCAAATAACCAGCAGGACACACAAGGCCACCACAGCACTTTTGCCTTTATCACACTGGAGATGTGTTGCACCACACGCCGTGTCCTCAGTTCGTGCTCATTTTCTGCCAACAACAAAACATGGGGGGCTCAGGGTGAGACCCTCGGCTGCGAGGGCATGGGGACAGGGCAGGCATGGGGATGGGGCGGTCAGCCCCTCTGTAGGGGGGGAGGAAGGCGCACCCACCTCGTTGATCCAGTCGATGTAGGCAGACACCCGTGTGAAGACCGTCGGCTTCTTGGCCATGTTGCAGCTCAGCCCGGAGCCGAAGCTGACGATGCCTGCCACCTCCCAGAGCCCCTGGCTCTGGCAGTTCAGGGGGCCACCCGAATCGCCCTGCCCGGACAGACGGACGCTCCATACCTGCTCCCGGACAACCCACCTCCCACCACTGCCGCTCCATCCCCTCGCCTCCCACGGGGTCCGCAGCCCCGCACGGCTTGGGCACCCCTGCCAACCCACCACCCCGCGGTGTCGGCACTCACGTTGCAGCCGGAGACGACGCCGTCG